AAAAAAGGGGTCGGCGGCACCAGGGGCGGAGCCCTTAGAATATATATAACTAATTATCTAAGAATTAGTATATAAGGTTGAATAATATTGGACCCAAACCATGTGGTTTCGGCTCGGATGCCAATGAGCTTGTGTCGTTCTTTTTCAGGTCTCCGCTGATCTTGTGGTTTCATTGGTGTAGGTCGCTGGACGAGTCTCCGTGACTACTGACGAACTAGCGATTCGACCGGCGAAAAAGCGCGGCAGCGGGCGGCCTTCTTCAGTATCCACCAGTTCAAGGTGACAGTCTCAACCAACATACTTAGGCACCTACATCTGCAGAAATGGCTTGGGCGCCTAGGCGCCTGTGTTTGGGTGGGCTGCGGTTTCATTCGACCTATTTCGTCTCTGCTACCGACGACCAAGACCCACCTGCATCTGGAGGTCTCCCGCCAAAATGTCGCCGATGGTGTCGTCTGCACCCACCAGCTGCCCCACGGACAAACGCGCTGTAATGCTCATGGCGAGATGAGGCTTGATCCTCAAGCAGATGGGACGCGAACCCCATCCGCGAAGCCCAAAATAGGGCTCGTTGGGGTCATTTTTGAGAGGGCTCAGCATCAACAGAAGACATTGAACATGGAGAATGAAAAAAGTAGCCTCACATCGGATGTGATGGATGCTTTGGGGTTTGGACCCTGCTCCGAATACGAACACCCAGAGTGGCGCGAAAAAGGAGGCAATCAATCCATTCAATTCTGAGTCTGGAAAGCTTCCGGTTGATGAAGGGTGAAGGCATGTGAATTCTGCTAGTGACCAGCTACAATTTGCAAGCTGACATGATCTGTATGACTCTGACTTTGCTGATCATCTTTGAAAACGATCTCACACAAAAAAGTCACCCCCGAAAGAATACACCCCAAGAAGTGAGCACTTGAAGAAGTCGCAGAACATGACTATGGCCAGTCAGAACATGACTGGCTGATTGCCGACTCACCCCTCCGGGCCACTCCGGGCGTTCGGAGTGGCAGGCCGGAACGTCGGTCCGGGCTGCCCGACCGTCGAGTTGACACCTACCACGGTGTGGGTCCACCGCAGGTCTCAGCCTTCTCGGCGGAGCCACCGGATAAAGCCACCGAGCGGCGTGACACCATTCACTCGGATATCATCCCCATCTCCATGGGCCAAGAGCACCTGAGACATGGGCCAAGGCCCCAAGAGCTTGGGACACGTAACTTTGGTCAAGCGGGACGGGACCAGTTGTGCGTCCTTCCATTTGGTGCTTCATTTGGTGGCTGCCCTCGCACTTTTGTCACCCTGGATCTTTGTGCTTCAGTGTCCTAAGTGATGACACCTCCAAATGATGGCACCTCGGCACTTCTTCATGGGCTCTCCAAAAGCCTCCCCCACTCCGACCCCAGAAGACCGCCCAGCTGTCCCACGTCGCCCACGTCTCCACCCAAGGGAACCAGTCCAACACACCGCTTTCGTCCGCGAGCTCGCGCGAGCGGCTCGGCCCAAAGGCCCTGGTTCTCGCAGCTGGTTCCCGGCTCCGGGGCACCGACTTGGAGAGTTTCCGGTCCACTGAGATGCCCAGGCTGAGCTCGGGCACCAGCCCCGCCAAGCGCGAGAGCCCCGGCGCGAACTTGTCCGCGAAGCACTCCATGGTGTCGGCGCTGATGGACAACCTGACAACCAAAAACGCCCCAAAAAAGGGGGAAGACCGGTGTTTCACCGATGTGTCCTGGTCGTTCGGAAGGTCGAAAATGGTCGAAAGGGACAACAGACAAGGGTCGCTCAGGATGCTGCAGGGTTTGAAGATGGAGGGCCAAACCCGAAAAATGGTGATCCTACTGGTGATCCTGTACCAAGCGTGATGTGAAATTGTGTGGACAGACGAGTGACACGGAGGCTCAAAGGTTTGAACTTTAACCACCAAAATGAGGATATCTTGCAATCAATGAGATGACTGATACTGAGACAGTGAGATGTAGTGACAGAAGAGGTGCAGGTATAGACACGGCTGCCGGAAAAGGGTGGCTGTGGAGGGAGCTCTCAAGTGGTGGATGAATCAGATGTGTAGAACATGTTTTCCCACGACGAACATAGTGTTGGTGTATGCACTGCAAAGCAGTGTTGCTGTTAACAGGCAAAATCCTGCAAAACTATGGAACCACGAGGGTCGTTGGCGATACACACACCATATGTACTTGACAGGGATTGGGTATATCTAGAAAGCGGCATTGCTTTTCTTCAGTGCAATGACCCCAAACTAGATAGAAAAGTGACCCACCATGACATCCTCTCCTTCTGTATGTTTGCGGCACTGCTGTAGATATCTGTAGAATCAATGCACTAGATTCTTTCTAGTTACAGTAGCGCTAAAAGGAATTGTATGGATTAATATATCATGGATCGTCAACCCAATGTCTATCAACTTCGCAAGTATAACATTTATCTTCTGTCATCCTGTGTTTGGAGATGGATGGAAGCTAGAATGTGCAATGAACATGACATCAAACACAGAATCCAGATCCGAAGCAACCGTTCGGGACAGCGTGCTTCCATATTGGACGCTGGTCCCTGGTCCCAGGAAGCTACACAACTGAGGAGAACCACCCGTCTACACCCACCACAACTAATCCAGTTGAATGCTGCTCCAAGTCACATGAAGTTCAGGCCCGAGTCACACTTGTTGAAAGCAAATCCTGCTTTGAGCTCGGTAAATTGATCCACAGATGAACCTGGATCGGTTGCTGCGCCACGTTTTGCTGGCTGCGCAGCTAAACGCGGTTTGCGGTGTTGAGGTTTCGACTCAAGATTGATGATCTTCGGGGATGACATGCAGATCTTTTCCATGCTTTCGGATGAGAAGATGTTGGGATTGATATCAAAGGATGATCGCTCTGGAACGCCACAAGACAAAGCTTTCACCCAAAGCGGTCGTCTGCAACGCCACGGGCCTGCCGGGCAAAAGAAGCCCATGTATAAGCCAACGGTGCCCCAGTCCTGTGAATCCTGCGGGTCAATGAAGAGGTTTCGCAAGTACGTGAGGCCTTGGTACGAATCCTCGGCTCTGCGAAGCTTACAGGAACCCAGGCAACACAACGCGGCCGCGCAACGCGGCCGCGCAAAGCAAGCAGCCACCCCTGGAAAACCATCTTCCTGTGGGAAACCACCAGGTGGTCATCCACGATAAGATGATTCTTTCAGGGAGTGTGCTCGATTCAGTTCTTCCTTCTCTTTTGCTCTTGGGGTGAGGGATTTGTTTAGGGAAAACCGAGAAAAAGCATCTGCTGGGCACAGTCTGTGGATGCATAGAGGGATCCACTCGTGCCGTAGGTGTTGCCCACGATCCACGAGCCACTGCGGTCACCCCAACAAAAAATCCAGCCAGCAGAAGGAGACAGGTCATCCCAGACCTTGAAGAAGGTATCGAAAAAGTTGGAGCTGCCACCAGCCAAGAGATTGGCAAGCTTGTGTTTCCTCGGACGAAGGGGTTGTCATTTCCGAGTCACCAACTTGGTCCCGCCAAAAATAGGCCAGTTGGTACCCCAAAAGAGGAAACGGCACAAAGGATTCCGATTCAGGAATCTGAAAAGACGGAAAGTCGATCATCATGTCCTGCGAAATGGCATGAAATGGCATGAAATGGCCATCTTCATCCAAGCGACCAATCTGTGTTGGTGTAGCACTGTCCTCCTGTGCCCATTCCACAGCCTCCAAGGTGGCTTTCTTGGCGGTCGCTGACCTCAAGGGGGATTCTGGAGTTCAATCCACATGGTGGAACGCTATCATGCAAGTGGAAACTTCCCCTGTTTGTGGGGAAAGTGGTCTCACAGGAGTGGCATAATTGTGCACATTCATGATATTGTTGGAGGGAGGGAAACCGGAGGGAAACCAATCAAAAGTCGGCACCCAAAGTCTGTCTCTCGGCCGGCTGTTGCATTGCCCATCACCTACCCACAGCTGAAAAAGTTCTGTCCTGCCCTCTGGTCTCATCAGGCTGGACTCATTTCAACTAGCTGGGGGAATTGACCCTAAAAGGCACAACCTGCAATCAAAACCATTTCGCAGCCGGGGGAGAACAACACTCTCGCAGCACACCGAAGTCCCAAAACCAAGTGAGTTTGGGGGGTTATCGTGTCATCTTTGTCACGGTTGGTGGAATCATCCTGTTGTTATTGTTTCCATTTTTTTCCCAAGAAAGACACTGAAGGTTGAATCATGCGACCTGTATCACCGGGAAAGGGCAACTGTGGCTGCTGGCTGTGCATGTCCTGTGCATGTCTAGTCTAGTGAACTAGGTCCTCTCTCATGAGGCTCATCGGCTCATGCCGCTCACCTTCTTTTCACCTAAGCCCATGCCTGCACAGTTCCATTCATCTTGTGTCTTTGCAGCATTGCTTCGCTTTGGGCTGCACATGCTTCGGGGCTGCTGCAGAAGGCATCTGCGTCACCCCACAGGGCCAAGAGGACAAGTAAAGTGAAAGCCATTCTGGCGAACTCAGGGCTCACGATTTAAGGTGTGTGTAAGGTTGAAACCCTTGAGCCAAAGTGGCCGTGAAAACAGCCAACAAACAGTCTCCAACGCGGGCCGTTGCAAAGTTGCATGCCGTTGCCGTTGCCAAAAACCACTGATTAGTTGGAACTCTGCTCACAAACGACGTGGACCGACCCTGCTTCCGCCGAAGCCAACGCCTTCGGCTCCGAAGCCAAACTGATTTTCTCCTCTCCCAGACCGGAAGCGGAAACGCCTTCGAGACCGAAGCTCAAAGCATGGGCATCTCATGGCCGAGCAGTCTGTCCAACTGGAGGTCGGCGTCGACACGTCCACGCCGCGTGACCGGTCGTGGGAACGGCGTAGGTGTGGCGGTGTGGAACGGCTGCTTTTCTGACCAAAGACACTTGAGAACTGGGCTGAAACAGCGAGGCTGGGGCGGCTGGGGTTTTTGTTCGTTTCTGCGGGTTTTTGTTCAGTTGCGCATGGTGACCTGCTGACCCTTTCCGCAACGTGTCGGGGCGTTCGTCGGGGCTTTCGTCGGGGCATTCGTCGGTTTGGAAGCACGGAACTCTCTTGGGTGCTGCAGAGAATCCTCTGCGTGTGGCAAATGGTTTTGTAGCATGTTCTCACCAAGTTCTCCACTTTCCCTGAGGGATTTCTAGAAGTTTCCTTGAGCCAATCATGCATGTCGGCCCATGCCATGACCACTCAAGGTCTCGAGAGATTCCCACTGATTTCAGGTCTTTCAGACGGCAAGAATTCCCTAGAATCAAAGAAACACTCTGGATACCGCTTCATTTGATACTTCTTCAGGTTTCCAGGACTGCCACTATAAACCCACAAGAACCTAAGAGAACCCCAAGTGAACCTAATGACAGCCCACAAGAACCTAAGAAACACCCAAGGGATCCTATGTGTTTCCTGGTGAAAATTGCAACTCTAAACAGCAGCATGCAAGCACTCCCACTCATGTTTTTCCATCAGATCTTGTCTGAGGGAGTGCTGTCTTTCCAGCTTTGAAGAACCAGCTTCCTTCCATCGCCTTGCAGGGCACAAAAAAATCTTCAAAAACACACACACATTTCAACAACTCCACATTGTGGTCACATGGAAACCTCTAAGTGTGTATGATTATTATACCCAAAATTACCCAAACTGTTTTTTTAAAAAACAAACCCTACCTAAAAAACAAAACATCACCACCATCATATGAGCTCAAGATTGCACATGGACTCATGGACTCATGTCATGCGGCCTGATGATACAAAAATTGCACCTCAGTCAGTTTAAAGAAGACTTGCACAAAGCAATTTGCCCAGCAAGGCATAAGTAAGTAAGCAAGTAGGCTTTGTATGAACATTTTTCCTTTTCACTGATCAGTGGTCAAAGGTCAAAGCTGCCCAGCAGCCAGAGTGAAGCCCAACACAGGCTCTCCCATCTCACAGGCTCTCACACTTCACCCACATCACAAACATTGAATTGATCCCAGTTCTTTGTCTCCATTACCCACATGATTAAGTTCTTTGTCTATCACACTTTACCCAAATGATTAATCTCTGATACCATTTCTGGCAATCAGCAGGGAGTGGGTAATAGCAACAAAATGTTGCTTTGTTTCATTGTTGTTCAAACTTTATATTGCGCATTATTAATTAAGGCCAGGGTGGTGGGAGGGAGGGAGGGGCAGCCAAATGCTGCTGCCCTAGGCCACAAACCTGAGCTTGGGCCATGGGCAATGCACATTGATTTTGAAGTGTTTGCCTTTGGCTTCTGAGTGAGAAGCAATTTGCAAGGGAAGTCAAAGGGAAATGCTCAGGCACAGGATTGCACAAGACTCCATCCACTCAAACCTCCAGTCCTTCCATGTCATTCAACACAATGCCCAGTCCACTGTTCCATCCTCAGGGGGTTGGCAAGTGCCCACAGCCAGCTCCATCCAATATTTGAGATCACCATCAATGACTGACAATTGCTTGTGCACACCTTTTTCCCCTTAGATGGCAGGGCTGGAGTTTCTTTCAGCCAAGCAGGCCCACAAATTCAAATGAGCCCAGTTGACAGCACTGTTTCAAATGGCCTTAGAAAGTTCTCCTAGATTCAATGGCAGGGCTGGAGTGCCTTTCAGACAGCCAGGCTAGCCAATTCAAGGGGCACAGCCCAGCTGAAGAAAGTTCTCCTTTCAAAAGCCAATCTCAAGTCTGAAGGATACACCTCCACTCATGATCATGTTTGCACTAGAATTCCTGCAAAGTTTCACTGCATCACTTGTTATACCTCTTGGGCTCTGGGAGCTCACTAATGATAGGTTGAAGGGCATCCAAACTCTCCTGGGGCACAGCACCTGGTCTTTGCTCAACCTGCCCAGAGGGTAGTGGAAGCTCTGCCTTAAGTAGCTCCCAGGCATACTGGTGAACCAGTGCCAAGCCTTCTTGCCAGGACCTGATTTGGGTGAAGGAAGCAGTCTTTGTTGCTTTGTCATACGCTGCGCCTTTCACTTTGTCACTGCTGGAGGGAAACCTGCAAGTGAATCGAGAGTCCATGTATGAGAGCCCCAATGTGCACCCAGGGGGTGACAATTTTGACAGAATCTCCTCTGGAGATTTGTAAACCTTTGGGTTGGGTGCCTTGGATGCTGGAGGCCTCTCAGGCATGGTCTCTGGCGTTGCCTCATCATCTCCTCCTGGTCTGGCCTGGGAAGAACTGGAGGCTTCACCTGGCATTGGGTCACCAAATGGCCTGGGCTGGGAAGCATTGGGGGCTGCCTCTGGCATTGGCTCATCAGGTGGTGGCATGGGTTTGGAAGAGCTGGAAGAAGTTGCACCTTCCTCCTTCTTTGCAGCTTGTGCCTCTGGGGCAGCTGCCTCCACCTCAGTCTGACCCTTGGCTCTTTTCCTTGCTTTGTCATCCTTTTCTTGCTGCCCTTCTTTCCTCCCTTTCCTTTTCCCTTACCTTTGGCAGTGCCTCTCCCTTTGCCTCTCCCCTTGCCTTTCCCTTTACCTCTCCCTCTCTTTTTGGTTTGTACAGGCCCATCTGCATCAATCATTTTCCTCTTCAGTCTTGCTGTTCTTTTTTTGGCTTTCAAATCTTTCAAATCAGTCTGGTTGCCTTCTTCTTGGTTCAGCTCAGAAATGACCTCACTGAACTCTGAGTCAATCCCATCATTCACCTCACATTCTGCTTTCTGGTAGGCCTGCCAAGCACTTTCCCACTTGTCCTCATCAAGGCACATCTTGAAAAGGACTTCTTCTACCTCCTTCCTGCTGGGGTTTCCTTTGATGTGGAAATCAGCAAGTGTCTGAATGAGGCGCTTGATGTATGAGACCCCCACACTCTTCAGGTTTTCCAAGCAAACAGCAACATGTAGCGGCATTGCTTCACCTGCACGCTTCCAGCCAAGTGGTCCACGTAAATTGTTCACTACCACAGGCTCAGAAGGGATCACCACCCAGTCATGCAGGTCTGTGATGTGAAGCCAAAGCAGGTGGTTCCTATCTGGCTTGCAAAGGAAGAGATTTGTGCCATTCACTTCCTCCACTGTCACTTGCCATGCCAAGAAGGAGTGCTGTGCAGAAGCCGCAACCTTGACAAGCAAGGATGTGGAATTCTGGGCCATGATCTTTCCTGCAGGGGCAAGGATGGAAAGCCATGAGGCATTGATGTCCCCAGCATCTGCTTTTCCTTTCTTGAACTCCCAAAAGTGAATGAGCCACTTGGTGGCAGCAATGCTTTGGAACATGGCTGCTGCATTGGGTGTTGGCCATGTAGAAGCCCCTCGACCTTTGTTTGGCAGCATCATGTTCTGTATTGCTTTTGGGAGCTTGTGTGTTGATGCTTTCATCTGCTTGGTAACAGCTTGGTTCTGGCTCCTCTGACAAGATGCCTGCACTTTCTGGGCAGCTGATGCCTTCACAACATTCATGCCTCTTTTTCCCAGAATGTTGGAACTCAAAACCTGCCTCATGATTGTGGTGTTGCTAAATGTGTCAGACTTGGAGGCCCTAAGCAGGTCTTTGGCTTGCTGGTGTGCTACTTCAATCAGCCTTGAGTCTCCCAAGTTCTTGCAGAGGACCTTCATGAGCTGCTGTCCCTGTGCCATGGCCTGCTCAAAGCTCATCAACACCAACCTGACAACTGGACTCCATCTCCAGTGCGTGTGGTCGAGTGCTTCAATTTGCACACCTGCCTGGGAAGCTGCCTCTGCCTCCAGCAGGTAGGTCCAGTGCTTCTTGGCCATGTTGCAGGCACTTGTGGCAATCCCCGAATTTGCTGAAGGGCATGGGCATAGCACATGGGTGGTAGTTCATGGGCAGATGCCAGAGATTGCACCCTAGCTTCCATGATCTTCTCCAGCAAGTCCATGTGCCAAGTCAGGGCCTCATCATGTCCAATCCACTTGGGCAGCACATGCTGGATGTTGTCAGATCTCCAGAGAGCATTCTCAACCATCTCTTCAAGCTCTATTGCCCAGTACTTTGATCCTGCACATGCCATATTGTGCTGCTGAACTTGGATGGGGCTGGTGATGTCCCTTGCCCTTGTGGCATGCTGCTTCCAGGTGGCCCTTCCAACTGACAAGATAGAGTCCTTGATGCTCAGGCTCCTGTGGGTGATCAAAGTTGGTGCAAGCTTCCAGGTGCCTTTTTTCTTTTTGAGCTCTTGCAGCTCTTTTCTAGGATCAGCCTGGTCATTGCCACCTCTGGATGCACCACAGGGCTGACTCCCCGACTGTCTTCCTCTGCTGCGGCTGGCCGCCTCAACACACCTCTTCTGCGAGGTGCCGCGGCAGGACGGTGAGCTACTTTCGGCGCCATCCTTTCCCTTGACCTTTGCCGCGGCCTGAGCCGCGGTTCGAGTAGTATTGTCCTCTAAGGACGTGTTTGTATCCTTTCCACCTCGGTGCCCTTCTGCTGTCCTCCTGATAGTAACCGGGAGGGGAATGCGAAGGTGTCCTCGGTCGCCTTGGTAGTGGCTTCCTCGCCGATGGCTTGGCTGT